TTCTAGGCAAATTTGCCTAAAAAAGCTTACAGATTAAGTAATAAGAAAATATAAAAAGACTTACCTTTTCACTCAAATAAAAAACAACTCTTGAAGTTCAAAAAACTTCAAAATTTTAGTAAAAATCATTATTTTTAATAGTTCACCTTTACTGCCAAAATCATTTATTCTTGTCTTCATAATTCATATTGTTGTATTATAACTATTAAATCATTTGTTGTTATTATTTATTCTTGCCTTCTGATTTTTATACATTATATTTTAATATTGAGTAAAAAAAAGAAAGAGTATTAATTAGTAATCAAATCTCTTATATATTAAAAAACATTATTGATTAAATTAGTTATCAAACTATTATTGTTACTTTATATATAATTTGATTTAGTAATTTTAACATCCTTTAATGCTGAAATAAATCACATAATCTGTAACTTATTCTGATTGGCCAAATTTGATCATAAAACTTAGTACAGTATCTATAAAAGAAAAAAAAAGTTAAAGTTCTAGTGAGAATAACATAAAGAACAAATTGCTTTATAAGAAAGTAGAAGAACACTTATCTAAATATATTATTATTAGAAACCCAAATAACTATAGTTACTCAGACTAAATTCTTCTATGCCTTAATTAAAGCCTTACTACTATTAGAGTTTGGTTATTTTAGTTCTAGTGTTCAAGTTTGAAAAGTATATCTTATATTAGTACAGTATTGTGTATGTTAGTTAAAGTTGGTATTGTCTATATCTGCTACTAAGGTCTTGCTTTCTAACTTTTTTTAAGTTTTAATAAAAAGATAGTTCTTAAACTTTAGACTTTTACAAACAAATTTGTATGCAAAAAACTACCTAATAATCATATATTTTTATTTACACTAAAGTATAAATTACTTATTATAATATAAATGCACTATTTAGAATTTGTTAAACATTGTAATTTAGAATAAATCCAATAAGTGTCCAAAAATAACTCTAGTTGATGTATATACACTAGTCTCCGTTCTTAAATATAACCTTCAACAGTGACAAATATTAAAATTAGAGTTAGAAATTAGTGTAAATAGCAATTACTCTATTAGTTTAATACAGATATTTTATAAATAGCTAATTTATTTCATTAATTTGGGTTTTAAAGAAATGCTATGAATGTTAGTATTCATTAAATACAAAATTATCAAAAATAAATCAGCTATTCTTGAGATATTAATGCATTATTGTGAAAAATCATTTATAGAATAATAATATTTTGTGAATAGCAAATCCATTTTTGATGATTTTGATCTTAAACAAAGCTTGCTATTTATTGCATTCATTTATACTAATCTAAAGAAATGATTTAACTATTATTAAATAATAAAAATCTGGTGTATAATGTTTTACTAAATCTATTCTGTAATTACTTTATATAGCTTTATGGAATTATTTCACTAAACTAAAAGGAAAATAAAAAGTAGGCGTTATTAAAAGTAATTAAAATATTAGCTAAAAGTTTTTGGTGAGTAGTTTTGTAGTAATTATGTTATATGCTTATATTATAATTTATAAAAGCTATACTAGCAAACAATCATTATATAAATATAATTATAGTTATAATTTTTTTTGTAAAATATTATATTTTTGATCTGTATATTAATACTAACTTATTTATATTACTTATTTATATTTATTATAAAAACTGGGTTATAAAATAAAGCATAATTAAGTTGTAACTAGTAATGTAAATAAGTTGGCATCAGAAGGTTTTAGTATTTTATAATTACTGAATATATATTTTACCTCTATTAAATATGCCCAACTGTGTGATTATAAGGAGGAATGACTGTAGATTGATTACTATAAGTTTCATTTGCATGCTTTTCCATTACAACTAAAGAATAAATATTTATTTTATTATAGCATTACTGACAAATCATATTGCTGATTTTCAAATATGTTAATAAGGTTTTATTGTCTCAAGTACTTTTTAATAACAATATGTTAGTAAAATTTTGCAAATCGAAAAAGTACTTTAAACTGTATAAATTCAATTGAATAAAATTGACCAATCAGAAGAAAGTTAGCCTATTATCATCCTGGCCAATCTTGGTTCTTATATAATCGATTTTGATTGGCTAATTTTGGTGTAATTGATTCTGATTGGTTAAATAAATCTAAAAAATTTTTAAACTATTATAAACTTTACCTCCTTATAACTTTTTTAAAACAAAAATAAAAAAGTCCTCTAACTGAAATGTAGTTTAGTTAAAAATCTATCAATTTGTCAGAGGGTTTTTTGATTTAGCTTGTTTTTAAAAAGGTATAACAATCTAAAATTTTTACTGATAAAGAGTAGATGCGCTTTACTGTCCGGTACTGTAGAACCAAGATTAGTCTTATAAAAGAAATCTTGCTATCTCGTTATTATATATAAAAAAAATTCTGTTAATGTACCATGATCGTTCTGAAACTTTTGATAAATCCTTTCTTATAGATAGATGTCTTATCAATTTCATAGCAAATTTTGCAAGGTTGTAACAGGATTCCAACCAATATATATTAAGGTTAAATTAAATTTTGGCCAAAAAGAATACCTTTTTACACATCAATGTTACATTTGAAGGGTGATTATTGGTCTAAAAGATTAATAATAAAACTATACTAAATTATCAGCAATTTTTATGGAGCTATAACTTCATTTATGCTGTTACCTAATGCAAAATATCAATCCTTTCAGTTTATGCAATCAAAATTATTTGAGCGACGTGTTTCTAGTTATAATCTTTTTTAAACATGTAGGTTTAAGTATTCATATAATTCACTTGTAAGTAACCTTTATGCTAAAATTTTGGTATCTTTGTAAACACTTTTTATCAATAGAAGATTCAAGGTCAATCATTAAATTTTTTTGAAAAAGCATTACAATAAAAAGCATTCAAATAAATTACATAGAAACGGTTTATATTGATTTAAATCTACTCCAATTTACACCCTCATCACTAAAATCCTGTCGCCACAAAATTTCTTCAACATAATTCTTATCACTTACATGACAATTATCTTTACAACTATATACAAGTAATAAACCCCAATCAAGTGAATCATTTTGCATATGATCTACTTGAAGATAATTTAAAAGTGTGGATAATATCTTTTATTAAAATTATAAGGTCAGTGTAAGAATTAAAAAATAATAATAATACTTGTTTAGATATAATTATATTACTCACCTGGAATTCGAAAGTTCGTTCTTGACCGCAATGCGGACATGAAGGTATATCTTCAGGCATCGGTTTACCAATATCACTTACCCATAACGGAGTCGCGTTTTTTTCACATTCATAATCTAGTCGTGCATACCTGATTTTATTACAAAATTAATATTTAATTCAATTAAGCAAAAACCATAAAATATGCTTGAGTTACCTTAATACCTGGTCAGGATAAGGTTCAACTTTTTTTTGAAATTTTAGAAAGGCTTTATCTACGTTAACTTGTGTATTTTCATAAATTTCATCACCAACGGGAACAAGAGCCCTAGAGTTTCCATTATCTAAATCTATTGTAAATCAATTATAAATAAAAAAGAAAGTATCATAATTAAAATGCCCATATTTACTCTTGACATAAAAAAACATCCATATAATTAATTACACTAACTTGATAAACTGTCATCAACTTCACCATTTTCACTGTCTTTGACCAGATTCCCCTCAGGTTCTGAAACAACTTCAAATTCCGGAAATAAAACTAATTTGCTACATAGATTATCATCATCTAATGAAGGTGTAGTTGTATTACAATGGATTTTATGTTGTCCGGAAGTCCAATGGATAATTTGGTGTTCTTTTGAACAATAATATGCTTTATTGCATTTCCCGCATTTTTTGGAACCGTGAAGACCGCAAACTACACAATAATTGACTAAAACATGTATTTAAGGTTATGATCTTTATGTCAACATATTAATATGTTACATAAATAATGTAGAGATATGAACCAGCTGTAAATTTTTCCGATGAACAATTAGCATATTCATTTGAATCATCTCCATTAGACTCTTCGTTTGGTGGTGGCCAATAGGGATTATATTTTGGTAATTGACTTCGAAATACTTTTAAACTTTATAAAACAGATAAGTAAATAATTATGGATAATTATGCGACAGATGTACCCTCGCACCGTCCAACTATCATAATATTGCTTAAAATAGATTGTGATATAGACTATGATCCAATGTAGTTTGACAACTCAATCTCGAGTCAATCGTGATAATTTGTAAGCAAATTTTCCTGTAAGACGGTGTAAGGATAATGGTTAAATGTAACTGTTTTTTTTTTTTAATTTTAATAACCTTTTACGCCATGAAGTTTTGTGACATGCCCCATTTTTACAGCAAAAAACATATATCGAGCGATGAAAGGCTTCAGGCGGGTAGTCTTCAGGAGTGTACAGCTATTTCGGAAAATAATTTAAACCAAATACTTGCACTAAATAAATTTTTGAGCAAAATTGAAATATAGTCACCTGAACTAAAAGTACCATTGGTTTTTTACAAATCCCACAAAGAACATCTTCAGCTGTTAAAACATGAGCCAGATTTAACCATGCCTAAGTTTTTTTCATGAACAATTAATCCATTCATGTCGTATGATCTTTGGAAAATTTAGTAACTAAGCATTGAAATTTACCGGTTTTCCCCCAATCTTATTCGGAAAACTATCCGCGGTGAGGGGATTGTCTGGTGGCTCGGCAAAGCCAAGTTCTACGACCTTGGTCGAAGAGGTTGCCATGGCCAATAATTTAAACCTTTATCAGCTGCATTTGACGAGAAGATTTTAATCACAATTAGTGTAATACAAAATCATAAAATTAGGAAATCTCTGAAGCGGGGTTAACCAAAGTTACATTTTTGATGCATTTAGGGTTACCTTCTTGATATATCAACATTTATATTATCAAGAATATGACTTATACAGTATGTATCGAATTAATCCTGTTTTAATGAACCCCTAAAATTAATAAATCATGGGAAGGCATTCATTTGATTGGTTAATTTGTGTGAATTATTTATTATTAGCAAAGCTACCTTTACTCTTATTTTCATTGCTTTTTTAACCATCGCAATCCTTTATATCAAAGACATTGCTATCACTTAAAAGAAAAGGACGGTATAAAAAGAATTGCGATTGATCTCGCTAATAGACTTAAGATGCCAATAATCGAGGGCATAACAATAAAAAGAATAAAGTCGGAAAGTCATGTAATTGCTCTCTCGATTATTGGAGACGTTGGAACCAACAAGAGAATATAAATAAATCTGGTTATATCAATATCAAAAAAGAAATAAAGAAATTGTCCCGCTAATGAAATTGATTTCACCAATCGTGGTGAAATTATTTTTAAGTCCGATATATCCAGACGTTAGTTTATCCATATTTAAGTATATAAAGTATATGGATCGGTTTATACAGATGTCATTATAACGGGCCATGTAAAATCTGAGGCATTGATGTCGGAGCAAACGTTAAAAGAATTCAGGACGTCCAAGTTTTATTCTATGCATGACATCAAAATTTTACTCTGCATTACGACAATAAACAGATTAGAATTTTATATTTTCATCATATATGTAATAATAATACGAATTTATATGTCTATATTACCAACAATAAGCATTAAGATATGTCATTTTGCTAATGTCTTTGCATGCTTCATCTTAAATAATTATATGCTTATGTGTAATTGCAGAAATAAAAGGCTTTGTGGAATTTAAAAAAGTTTATTTGAAATCATAAAGTTATAAAAAAATTAGTATCCGTGAAAATAACATATTTTCGTCTTGTTGTAAACATTTATTATGAAGTCAAAGAGACAAAAAAAAATAACGAGAAGAGAAAGAAGAGAATTGTAAATTCTTGTTTATTGTTCGTTTGCAGTCCATAAATATTGAATGAATTTTTTCATTGATCACATTGACATGTAGCTTGGACCCTTTATATATTCCACCAGCCGAACAAAAAGATTTGGAAGGACCAGTTTTGAGAATAATTCAATATAAATATGAATTTAACCTTGATTGGTACCTTTTAACCTTTAAAGGTATGCTTAGTAAGAGGAAATATACAATTGAATATTGTTCGATATTTTGATATTTGTTTGTTGATGCAGATGAAAGAAGGCAGCCAGAGTGGCAGCAGTATAGAAACTTAGCAGGATGTAATGAGATGATCAAAGAGTTTTGGATACGTGAAGATGCTGGGATGACTCCAATGGTTGGCCCTTTTGGATCGTCAAAGTTTTTGCGTTCTTCAAATAAAACTAGGAATTCATCACGTTCTATCGCCAATGGAAAAAATTCAAGGAAATTTATTCCTAAAGAAAATGAGAATGTAATTATTATATAGTTTTAGATTTCTCTAATATATTAGAAAATGATATGTGATCATAATCCAATTCATAATTATGAAAATTATCTTATTTAAATATTTATTATTAGGCCTATTTGAACGATCCCAGTAAGCAGTTGGCCAATAATACTCCAAAAATTCAAGAGTATGTCTTGATATGAATATTTAGTTTCTTTGTAATTTTTATTGGTTTACTTATACACTTTTATATAGAAGGAACGCCTACGAACAAGCGACTAGACCTGAACAGATGTTCTGCAAGTCAAAGACCACCGGCATTTTGAATATGAACAAGTAATTAACATAATTAATATGCTTCTTATTGATTTTATATTTAAACATTTCCGTTGTTTATTTAGTGAGTGGATAGGATGTTTGGAAAAAGGCCAAAACAAAACGTTTCTTGCGACCATCATCTTGAAACCTTGTCCTGGATATTGTCATGACGCATCATCCCTGTAAATATATCATATTAAAAAGTATCAATGTATTTATGTATTGGAAATATCAAACCTAACTGTTTTTCTAAGATTCAAAAATATCGGAAAACCCCTTTGGATGCGCCATTTTATCCCATTATGTTACGCCAAAAATTTGATTCGAACTGACAGTAATGTGTCCCTATTTACCATCGAGGCAGCTCACGACCAGGACATGCCTAATCTTTATATTGAATGTTCTTTGATGGAATGGAGTGAAAAGGCATCCTTTTTTACAATTTTATTACTGTTTATTTAGCGTTTAGCAATTAAGTTTTCTTTAACAAATAGGTCGGAATAATTTGGATCGATGAAACTATGTCTACCTTTTATATAATATTCCCAAATTCTGATCCTGTATGCCAAGATTTTGGATGTTTGACTCGACCAACTGCACCATTTCTCGCAATTTCTAAAACTTTATTTTCCTTCCATTCAATATTATTAAAACATAAATTTAAATCAGAGTACAGACATATTTTCGATAATCAACAGATTATGATTGATGGATTTATGGAGGCTGAAAATTTTATAAACTTAATGGGATATCACAAGTTGGTAGAGTGGTTTAAAAGTAAACCAAAGTTTATGGAATTTTCAACAGAAAATAACGTAGAAAGATATGAATTTCTGAATTCTGCAAAGTGTTTAGGAGGGATTCATTCAAAAGAATTCAGTGATGACATTAGATACGTTTTTGTATGTATTGTTATAAACTTTTTTAAGTTTTTTTGTTTATTTTTCAAATTTTTTATTTTTTTTTTTTTTTGATACAGATTCACTCGAGGCGTGAACATCAATATAATTTTATACCTCACTTAATGAAGCTCAAAGACTTGCCAAATTGTAAATTTATAGGTTATGGGAATAGTTGTTGGCCTTTTGACCCATCTATAGATTTAGAAGAATGGTTCTTGCATGGTAAAAAGTTGTTTTTTCTGGGTCTGGATCAAAATCCTAACTGTAGTTCTGGTCAATTTTTGGCGGGATTTTTTTTCGAGATTCCGTTTGTCGGGATTTCGACCCAGACTTATGCATAATTATATTTTTTTGTTTCACCAATAATCTAGGGGGGCTCGTAACCATAACGAATAAGACATTTAATGCACAGAACCACATTTTTGATAGACTTTACAAAGTGTTTCAATATGTAAGTTATAATTAAGTTGGATTTAAATTTTTTTAATCTAATCTCATTTTGTTTATTTATTAGCAGTCAACACTCCATGTTTCTTCAACGTGGAAAGTTGTAATATATAAAAATGTAGAGGATAATCTAGTCAAGAATTTTGAAGCTTCCCGTTGTAGGCAGTAAGTTCTGAAATATATATATTTTGTATTTTCCTTCTTTAAATTTATAGCTTATTCGAAGTTTTTGTTGATTTATTAGGTCACTGATTTCATTACGTATGATCAGATTAAGCATTAAAGATGGTATGAGTCGATATTTTGAAGCCGACGAGCTTTTTTGTCAAAATGAGGTGGGTTGCATGAATTAATTATTCACGTAATAATCAATTATTTATAACTTTCATTGTCTATTATAGAAACTAAAAAATATGTCGGTTATAAAATCTCTGAGTTGTCATATGACAAAATTGCATAATAAACATTGGAAAAAAAAGAGACATTTCATTATTATATGTGAACCTGAAGAAAAGTATAATGACACTATTCCCGTTCCAGGGGTATTTTTTTTCTTTCTTGTTTTTTTTTTTTTTGCTATTGCTTTAAAAGTGTCGGTATTTTCCAATTCAAAATTTTTAAAATTTTAGGTAGACAGACTGACGCTACAAGAATTTGAGTTAAAGTTTGGCCCCGCTGAGAAAATACTACTTCAATCATCATAATAATAATATATATATATATATAGCATTGCAACTATTTTGTTTTTGTTTTTTTATTGTCTGCCTACATAATTTTTCAATTCTTGTGTAGGCTAGGCTACAGAATTAGATTTTTTTGTTGTGATTTATTTTGTGTTAGACTTACGTGAAACAATTATAGAAATTCATTTTTTGGGGATTGTCAAATTAAACATTGTGTAAAACTTGTTTGGTATGATTGATATAACTTAATAGGCGTCGGATTTATTCGTTGATATTTGGAATAACAATGACCTGTACTAGATTATAAGTGCAGTATTCAATAAAAACTTCAAGATTAGCAAATACCACATAGCACCAGTGATGCTTAACATTAAAATTTAGGTTAGATGAGTATGCTTTATAGTGATTATATCTAAACAGATCAATAATTAATAATCACGTCTTCTTAATTTCTACTAAATAAGATTTGTCTAAAACATCAATAAATGCTTCAACTGATTCTGAAAGTTAATATGAAATTTTAAGATTTTTTGAGAAGTTTCTTTTTTTTTTTAGGTTTCTTAGAGTTTGGCTAGGGTTTAATGTTAGATGTTAGAGTTGTTTAATAAAGGGAGTATATGTGAATTTTAGTAGGGCTCATTTTCAAATCGAGATCCAAAATTTCGGCATCAGCCAATTTCCTAATTAGCTGCGACGCGCATTATAAGCTCATAGGTATTATGGAGAAGAACGGTTTAGCTTGTGAAAAATGGCCTCTTAACTTTTCAAAACCCAAGTTTCGTAGAGATATGGGGTCTTTGCCTTGAAAATGACCTTATGGGACATAGTAAACCATATGATCCAAACTTGATTTCAAGGCAAAGACCCCATATGGTCTCTTTAGTAACAAGAGTATTACTTTATTAATAAATTACAATAAATTTTTTACTGTTCGCAATAATGAACAGCAAAAAAAAAAAAAATTTTGCACAAATTCATAACGTTTCATGAAAACTTTGAGAACACTAATTTTGAATACTGCTGTTGGGTATGAGCACCAAAATGGGTACAAATTTGATTGGCTTAGAATTTAATATTACAGTATACCTAGAAATCATCAAATCGGAATACAGATTCACCATTTTCATCCAAAAATTGATTTCATCATGTCAAAAAAAAGACTTTGGGAAACCGATCATGGTGCGTATGTTAATATTGTTGAGTGTCAATCGATAGTTTAGGCATCTCCAGACAATTTTTATCTATTACCAATATATTAATTATAATAGACTTAACACTACCTACCAGAATTCCTGACGAGTCTGATAAGTGGAAAAGAATTCGATGCGATGAAATTTCTCAAGGTAAACTAATTCTATAAAAAAATTTTAACGCTATCATTTAGATATTAACTAAAATTATTAATTGTAGATATTGAGAATTTCTATGAGGATATCGTCAAGCAAATTTCTTGTTATAATAACAATGATGCAATTCCCATCATTATTGATACAATGTTGAATTCAAAATGCTGTGCTAGATGCATTCTTAGGTTCTTAAATGTCCATGATTATAATCTCTATTCTGCATCCGAAGAAGTATGTGTAAATTTTCATATTTCTTTAAGTAATGTTGTAAATCAACTTAATGTTCCTAAATTTCTAGGTTTTACTCAAGCTTATCATTCGAATTCGTGAAGATTCACTCAAATCGATTGATCCTAAATTAACTTCATCTATTAAACATTCTTTTACTGAAACGTTTTCATGCGAACCTCAAGATAAACCTATTTGCGTTACATGTTTCGATCTTCTTTATCAAGCGGATACTATTGAGTGTGTTTGGCCAATCTACCAAAGTATTCTAGCTCATAATTTCGATGTGAAAGATTTTAATCTATCTGTTACGATACCTATTGGTATATTGGTAAATAATCATTCAATGGTAGTTTGGATTCGCAAAACGTGCTAGTAAGTTAGATCAAAAAAGATTTTTATATTAATGATGACTTTTAAAACTTATTTTGTATTTGAAAATTAGTGATTTAAAAGTTCAATGCTCTTTGGCGAAATTAGTGGACTTGAAAGAAATTTTCAAGCCTTTACTAGGTTGGGGTATTGAAAAACAAACGGGATTGATATATAAATGTCAAAGCCAATTTAACATATCTATAGAATATTACCATGAAGAAACGCAGAGAATTCACATGTTTTTGACAAAAATACCCTCTGCTGGATTTGGAATTAAAAAGACTCGTGTCAAAGTAAAATTTAAACTATTAATATATTCATTATTAATGGTTGTATATTCAGATTATTAATTTATAATCTTTTATAGGGAAAACATATTCGGACGGGAGATTCACGTCCAAATATAACTAACGCTTTACAAAAAGTATCAGATGAAGAATTTTTAAAGTATGTTGCATGAGATGATAAATGACATTGAGAACCTTGGTTTAAATAATTTTAAAATTTTCAATAGAATGTGTTACAATTGTCCACCAACTGTGAAAGAACGATGGAAGCATAAACCACCAATATTGGAACACGCAACTGTTTATGTTGGAGGTTTGTGAAATGCATATAAAATTTGTTTTTTTACGAATTGTTCACTTTGAAACATTGAAATTCGCTTTTATCTATCAGGGAGGTATAATAAATTTTCACGAGATATTAGTCAAACCCCATGGATTATTAATGGCGTTAAATTGGCACCAACTTCTGTTTCCGAATGCATTGGAGAAAAAATACGCGAGCTACTTAGGTGTGATGGTAAGCTTATGTTTTATTAAAAAAAAAATTGCGGTATTTTTCCTATAAATTGATAGATTTCTCATTATGAATTTTTTGTAGATTATAATTTTGTACCAGCAGGTCGGGAGGATTCTAACGTGCGTATGTTGGGTGACGGTAGACCATTTTTCATGGAAATAATAAATCCTCGGAACCCATTTCCATCTCAAGAAGCTCTAAATACTGTACAAGAAGAAGTAAATAAGGAAAATACGGATTTGGTGCGATGCCATAGATTAACAATGATAACCAAGTATGTAACTATGTAATAAAACGATTCATTTGTAATTTGTGTTTAAAACTTTTTTCAAAAAAAAAGTAAACAGGATTTATCCATTATTAAAGAAGGTGAAGAAACGAAGACAAAAACATATAGGTTAGTATTTATCATAGATTATTGTTATATGTAGGTTTAACCAAAATTGCGCCTAGTGACTACTTCTACCAATATTTATTTAAGACTATTTTGTTTTAATTTTTGGAAGGCCAACATTTCTCTAACATGAATACTATAATTTATTTATTTGAAAGTGCACTTGTTTGGATTTCTAAAAAAGTTACATCTGAAATAGTTGACGAGATAAACAAGCTTCGTGAAGGATTAACTATCGAACAACAAACTCCAATTCGTGTTTTACATAGGTATAATTAACGTGCATATGAAAAATTTTCTGTATTCTAAATCGCTCAATCTTTATATTGTTAATTAGACGTTCACCAGCAGTACGTACTAAAAAGATACATTACATTTTTGCTGAACAAATTGAAGATAATTTTCTAACCCTAAAAATGAAGACTGAAGCTGGAACGTATCCTATTTTATTTCACCACTTTGTTTTTCAGGAATATGATAATATTCACCATTTCTTAACTATCTTTAATGTAATTGTGATTTTTTTTTCGCAGATATGTTAAAGAATTTATTCATGGAGATTTAGGAAGAACCGTTCCAAATTTGGGGGATATTATCAGGTGTCATGCAGATATTTTAACCTTGGATGTTTTAGAAGTTGATTTGAAATGGCCAATTCAATGAAATTATCTCTATTCGAAATATTTTGATAATTAAGAAGTTGATAAATTATTATCTATTAGATCACTGCTAAATAAGTTATTTTATACGTTTTGAATTATTTAACGCCTCATCATGGTTATTTACCATATTGCTGCAGCAAAGAAAATTTAATTACTATTACATATGTCGCAGGTCTAAGTCCGGCAAATAATAAATAATTTTGAAAGCTCAAACTTAAATTTTCACAGTAGCGACTTCTGAAAAATTGAGGTATTCACAGATCAATGTTATAGCATATGGATAGCTTGCAAGTAGGATTGTAAAACTTACAATAATTTCGAAATTTTGAGCAATTTCCAATGTTTACTTAGTCAAAAATTCTAAAATCATCCAAGTTATTGTGTAAGTTATAATGTAAGCTTACAACCTGATCGTAATCAGCTTATTACATAAATAATTTTGCCTGGCACAATGAAAATTTAAATATGTTAGTTTTTCTTGTATCATTCTTATTTAAGTACCGGAGATAAAGATCCTTGAACAGTGAACAACTACTCTATCAATTCTATCAACAAATTTATCTTAGGTTTTAAACGATCCCATGAAGACCAAAATTTAATTTTCGCAATAATGTATTTAGAGTACTCATTATCACACGATTATAGTTAGACGTCTTTATAAATGCACATCACTTTCCCCGACGAGTGCACTTATGGAGGATTCACTGTAATACTGTATACGGTTCATTTCATTAGATTGCATAAGACAAAGTAATGTTTGAGGTAAACCCCAGAAACTTTTCGCGTTGCGGCATGTACTTTGTATTTTAAGTTCCTCGTATCACAAGCTAAATAAATATTTTCAAAGCTAAAGCCATCATACTGAACTGCAAGATTGAAGCCAAAAAGGCACTTGTAAATAGGGTTCTAGGCACCAAAATAGCTAATAGTAAATAAAAAAACTTCGTACAAAGTGGCCAGATAGTGATATTATTTATAGTGGCATGTCTTCTCAAAAGGTGTGAACAAGACGCAGATCACCAACATAAAATTTTCATAGCCATCCGTAAATAAATAATTCTCATTGATTTGTGATTAAGCTACCAAATTATTGGATTGTAGTCTACCATTTATGTCCCTATTACGGTACTCAAAAGAGTGTCCGAATGCACTGGAGATTCCAGCTAGCTACAACTTTACAGACGCAGTACACTGGCAATCATAAATAATGCAACACGCTATTATTTTTATAATAAAACATAGTAACCATTGAAATTTTGAAAATTTTCAATTATTATAAAATGCACCTACGTATGGTGTTTTGCACCTATTATATATTTTTATTATAGGTCATATTATTACTTCTAATACATCATATTTTATAAAATAAATTAAAAAGTTTATTAATAATATTAAATCTAATGACTGTTATTTTAAATTATACTTTTAGGATTATATATATTATAATATTAAGGTTTAAAAATAAATTTATTATATTTTAATTAAATTATTTTTTCTTATTTTTTTTTTTAAATCTTAAGCAGTTATGCTAGTACTTTATTAAGATTCTTGAAACTATACATTTTTATAATTACATAGAATTTCCCAATACCTAAGTCTAGCATCACTCGGTCACCCAAATGGTACCTAAGTGCAACCTGTCACATTATCTTAGTTAGAGATAGACTGCATATCTAATTATTTAAAGTCATATCAGAAGGGTCTTCCTTCTTTTGTGACAAGTATATCAATTGTCATCCAAGCTTCTTTCTTCACTCGATTCAATTTTTCTGCTTTTTTTTCTTTTTTTTCTTTTTTTGTTAGCTTATCTTTCTTCATTCTTTTCTCTAATTTTCTTCTTATTTGAACATCTTTCTTTATTTTGCTGGTTATATTGGTCTTTTTTACTTATTCCTGCACTTTCCCATATCAGACTCTCTATATTTGATCATAAAATATGTTTCATACTGTTCTTGTTAATATATCTATGCATTTTTGTATTGTCTGTTTGCTTAGAATCTGGTCGAGTCTTTTCTTAACCTCTGTTATGACTAGTCCTTTTATCATTGATTTTCTGTTTATAATTTCTACTGTTTCTGTTTTCTTAAATATTGCTTCATATAGGACTAATGGTAAAATCCTATCTTTTTTATTTTCTTTGAGATTATTCTATACTGTTGCTATTGTTACTTTTTGGATTCTCTTCTATAAGCATTTTTGTTTACTGCAGTTTGCTAAATATACTTGAGTTTCCTTTTCATCTTTTTGACAAATTTGGCAATCTGTTACTATATAAATCTCTAGTCTTTTTCTATTTAACTCTTTTAGTATTAGTAGACTGTCCATTATGTATTTGATTACTGTTACCTTTCTAGTACTAAGTTTTCTTGTTGTACAGTACACTCCTTTTGTTCTATTTATCTTTTTCTAAAAACTTGACCAATTATATTATGTATTTTCTATTTCTGGTTCTAATATTCAAATTGGGTTTGTTTTTCTTCAACTGGTTTTGATTCTGGCATTTATTACTATTTTGCAAAAAAGTCTTGTTAGTATATCAACCTTTTTATTTTTCCATTTTAAGTAGTATTCTACTCTTCTGCACTTGATCTTCTCTGCAGATATTGCCTTATCATATGCTATTCCTTTCTTCACAAGTACATCTGCTCTATTATTTCATTTGTCATTATTGTAGCTTTTAATTTTAATCAGTTCTATTTTGATGTTTTTGTTTTTAACCAGATCTATAATATTCATTAGTCATATCACATTTTTTTTTCAGAACTCTGGCATTACCTATATCTTGAATTGCTCTATTAATGTTTCTTAATCCTGCTAGGCTGTCTATATATACTTCTATAGTCTTCTTTTCTGGTATTGTTAAAATTGCTAACCATATTGCTGTTAGCTTAGTTGTTGTCACTGAAGACCAACCTTCAAGTCTCAGTGCTATCTCTTTTTCTAGCCAATTTTTTTTATTTCCAACTTGCATTCAGCTTATACCCATCTTTCCTAAACTATTTCCACTTCTTTCTTTAAATAATATATCATTTGTATAACAGATATACTTGTCTTTATTTCTTGTTATGTTTCTCATAAGAGCTTCTATTAAGTAAATTGTAATCTCTTTCTTGAATTTTTGTTTTTTAATTAGTTCTATCTCTAATCCTTCTATGTGTTCTAATCCAGTTAATTCTCTTTCCTTTTTTTTTCATTTTCTCATTAATTTATTTTCTAGCAATTGTTCTATTGTTGTATTGATCTTATTGTTGTTCTTTTTTATTAATGCTTCTGGAATTGCTTTAATACTATTGTTTTATCTGATTCATTTTTCATATATGCTTGTTGTTTGTTCTAATTTGCTTTTACAACCTTTGTATTTTCTTATTTCGATGAATGTCTTGAATATTTTTTCTTATTAATTTACAAATTTATAAAAAATACTTAAATTATTTAGTTTTTAATTTATAACTTTTTTTTTATTATGCAAACTATATTTGTCTATTAAATAAAAATGTTCTTTATATTATTTTATATATAAGATAAAATTTTTTTAAAATTTAAAAAAATTTTTATCAAAATAATTTATAAATAAGTATTGGTCATCTTATTAAACATAATATACCAACTTGATACATTTGAATTAAAATATAATTACACAAAATTTTATATATTAACTTGCAATTAAATAAA